AAAAGGTGACTTCCATGTTACAACAAAAAGGAGTAGTCAAGTTACTTGGGTTAGACTATCCATTACATATACAAAAAGGTGGCCAACAAAGTAGCAGATGCCCCATCCTAGAAAGTAATTCTGAATTGAATGCACCAGACTATTCCAACAAGCAAAAGTAATTCTCAATTGAATGTAGTTGTAACCATGTCTTCACCTGCATGGTTGGAAGCTATAAAGCAGATAAATTTTCAAGTAAATTTTTACAAAAGCTGATGACTTATCCACATGGGAGGCCTCCCTATCAACTGCAGAATGGTATTCTGAAGTACAAAGGAAGAATAGTGTTTGGGAGTAGCAAGGATTTGAGGGCAAAAAGTGTTCAGCAATGCCACAATTCCGCAATTGGAGGATACTCATGTAAATGGGCTACCTACAAAAGATTAAAGCAATATTTCTTTTGGTCTGGTGCTCAAAAACAGGTGGAGGATTGGATTCGCTGCAGTTGTAAAACAGAGAAAGTTCCAGTTTCTGTGCTGTTACAACCACTGGCCATTTCTAGCAATCATGGATACATGTTTCCCTTGATTTTATTGAACAATTATCAAAGTCGGAGGCAAAGGATATTATGCTAGTGGTGATGGACCATTTCACCAGATATTGTCACTTTTTTGTTTTAAGCATCCTTCAACAACCTAAGGGGTTGCCTGCCTCTTTTTAGAAATGGTCATAAGTTATATGGCACTCCTAAGTTTCGGTTTCTGATCGCAAAAAAGTTTACAAGCCTGTTTTGGCATGAATTAGTGAATTGACCAGAATCGCCCTACATCTTTCATCTGCTTACCATCCTCAACAAGATGGTTAGACTGAATGACTTAATGTCTTGAGATGCATCTCCGTTGCATAACTCATCAGAAACGTAGAGCTTGCACTAAATAGTTAGCTTTGGTTGAGTGGTGATATAATACAACTTACTGCTCTAGCTTAAAACCTATCCATTTCAAGCTTTGCTATGGGTATATGGCTCCTCACTATTCAGATAGTCTGGAAATCAATATTATTTCTGATGTAGTGCAAATATTTTTTGCAGGAAGGCATCAAACGAGCTAGATGCTCAGACGGGAACTAATTGAGGTGCAAAATGGAATGAAACAGTTTGCAGATATGCACCAGACTGAAAGAGTTTCAGAAGCATGAATTGGTTTTGCTGACACTTCAACCTTTTGGGCAAAATCTATTACTGGCCCTTGCAACTCCAAACTCTCTCCACATTTTAGGGACTCTTTGACGCAGTCCAGAAGATTGGCGTTGTGGCTTATAAGTTGGTACTACCTGATACTTCTTATATTCATCCAGTTTCTTATGTATCCCAACTGAAGAAGTATTTACCAGGAAAGCAAATTTTCTTTGAATACCCTGGCTATGACACGGATGGAACTATGGTCATTGAACCTGATCACATTTAGCAGCGCCGGCAAGTTATCAAAGATTGCAAGGAAAAGGACCAAGCATTGGTCCAATGGACTGGCTGTGAAGAAGAAGACAGAATCTGGGAAGACTTTGAGTTCCTTCAGCAGCAATTTCCTAATGTTAACCTTGAGGACAGGGTTGTCTTATGAGGAGAGGGTATTGTCAGTAAACCTTTGAAGGCTTATTGATGGCGGAAAAAGAAAGCATAGTTAAGATGTAACTACTACTTTATATTTCAAAAGAAAAGATGTCACTACTACTTTAATAACTGACTGGATCAATTAGAACTGATGAAATTTGTTGGAAGTTGTTAGCAAGTTGTCAAGAGGATTAGGACACTATCAATAAGCTGTAGGATGTCGACTGAAGTATTTTTTGATATACTCAAACCTGAATGCAATCAGCAGTCTTTCATCAACCTAATTCTGTTCTCTCTCTTCTCATCTCATCTAAGCTTCTTTCCACATCTCTCTTTATCCAATAAATAAATTCCTACTGGCAAATCAGAATTCATGTCTAAATCTCTTGACAAAATATTTCCAATAAAAAGGTTGCAGGCATAACTACTATCAGGAAACACTACTGAGTACAATTAATTTCAAACAATTGAGAGTTACCACCAAATACTAAAACAACTAGTATCAGGATAAAAAGTGCATGCTCGTATGGTTCTCAAGTTAGATTACTGCTAAATTGCAGCAAAAGTAAGCTATGCATAATATCAACAAATAGCAGGTTGAACATACAACAAGCATTTTGTATGACACCATCAAACTCAAACACATTAAAAAAATGCAGTATAAATGGTGGCCTACAAATAATTCAGTCAAGCGAGGTAAATTGTAAGAAATCATACGATATTACCTAATATAGAACCTCAGTACATAACAAATTCTCTTTTAGATCTTATAGGAAACAAAAATGTTACAAAGGTTTTCACCTCTCGAGAGATCCAACCTCAGCCATGCCAAAATACCTAACACGGGCTTAATAGTTCACATCAGATTACATAAAACAACAAAAAAACATAATTTTATGACCGTGTCTTAAAGCAAGAAAAGTCTCAAGTAGACTCCCATTTTTTTTTCTTATTTAAAAGAATACCACAAGAGCCTTGATTAATTCCTTAAAAACTAAGCTGAGAATAACAGAGAGCAGCAATATACATAAACAACTAAAGAACTGAACACAGAACTAAAAGAGATAACATCTTGCCTTAAGATCAAAAGCAAACTTTTTCTGTCCAAAGTTGACATGAACCCTGCAGGATTGAAATCAAACACACATGAAGAAAAACCAATAACAGCATCACTCCTGGTGGAAACATTTACAATATGATGATTATGCAGTGATACTAGGATCACATCAAGTTGACATGAACCCTTATGGCCGACCTTTTCGCTCAAAGTTCCTCGAGAGCGTGATGAGACGATCGTGTGTATAGAAAGGGAGAAAGTTTTAGGAAGGAGAGGGTTGGATTGGTTGAGAAGGTTGAGAATGTAGAGAGGTTTAGAGAGAGAGAAAGTTTTTAGAGAGAGGGAAGTTCACAACAACAAATATGTGACTCTAATTAAAAGAGATAGACAATAGAGCATTTGATGGAAAGGAAGATATTTTTGGAAACATTATGAACAAATGGCACCATATTTCTGGTTTCATTGTGCTAGAACATACCATTAACCATTTTGACGATTTAGGGTCAACAGTAGATGTATTAATTTTGTAAATCTTTTGTACATGGATTGACACCTCCTTGCAACTACACTTCAATATATTCTACACTTTTATCTCAAAAAAAAAAAAAAAGAGATATCACTGAACACTAGTATAAATATCAAAAGGAAGCACAACATACTCCTCATTTTGGCTATGTACAGCAACTGTAGGAAACAGGGGACCCTTCATGTCCTTGTACACCGTCCCTATGATTGCCCCATTTTTACTGGCATCAATATTATAAGCAGACATGAATGTAAGATCTTTAGGAGTAATGAGACGCAACAAAACATAATTAACAGTACACTGAATGATGTAAAATCCAATTATATTTTCATATATTCAGAAACTAATGAACTCCAACACATAAAAGAGAAAAGTGTATATAACCATCTTACGTGAAAAAGAATTCCTGTGACGCGTAATTGATACCACCACCAACTGTATCACCTGTTGTATAGGTTGGGCCAAAAGCCTCTCCCTTCCCCTGTCCACGATATAGAAATCCGTCATCCCCATGATAGCCACAACTGTTTGCTTCCCATCTGCCACAGAAAAATCAAATTAACACCACCCACTATTAATAGAAAGACTATCCCATTTTGACACTCAAGTAAAATGGGTAGTAGTATATGGTTCTGGATGGATGGACCAGAGAAAGAGACCCATGAAAGCATCCTCCGATACAATTTTAGAGAAGAACAATGGAAACGCTTATTTCAAAGGGCACCAAGAGAGTGCTGCCTACGTCCAAATGAACTAGCAAACCCATATTAGATACAATCCAAAAGGTCAAGGAGGTGCCATACACTAATCAGAAAGAAGTTGACCATATACCATAAGCTAAGACAGCACAGTTAAACATTTCTAATTCTATGTTAAGGAGATTCAAAACCTTCGAAATCTCTCTCTCTTTTTTCTTCAGAGATAACCTTCAAAAGCTCTCCTATTCCTTTCTCTCCAAATGATATGAATGGTACCTCCATGATCTTTGTCTCAACTGAATATCTCCCCACACCAATAGTTTTGTCACTAGTGAAGCTGCAACAACCAATCTATCACAAAAATAGGTAAATTTTATCCTCAAATCAATGCGAAATCTCCCTTTAATCAAATGCGCTGTGAATAACCAACAGCCTTTGCTCCTCCTTTGCAATTTTAAGCAAGTCTTCACCCTAGATGTAAAGGAGAAAGCACACAAACACAATCTAAGTATAGGTTGTAATTTTCTTAAGTTACATGAATGCCTTGAACTATTTCCCTAGTAAAATATACACAGTATAAACTATACTTTTTTCTCTTTGAACAAAAACGGATGCTGTGCCATACCGTTTGAGGAATACTCTTCATCCTTCATTTGGATTGTACTTGTCCAGAAAATCCAATTTGTCCAGGGTATCAAGCAAAAAAAATTTCTATGCCACCATAGAGTGGAAAGAAAGTGAAAGAAAATAAATACCACATGCAAACTGCCTATAATTCAGATATTCTATACCCAAAAAAAAATAATAATAATAGAAGAGATAAGCCAATTCTTTTTTAATTATTTGAGAAAAAAAGAGGTGCATTAACAAGGCACCCAGGGGTGCCACCCAAGTACAATAGAAAGAGATAATTACAGGTTAATCAAAACACCAATAAGGTCATCCCAAGTCCTCTATGAAACCAGGAAGATTCATCTCCAGAAGTCCTATTTCTCTCTTTCGAAATAACTGTAACACCCAGCTAGCCCAAT